AACCTGTATGACTAACACATCCCCACAGCCAGACGCATGCATCAAAGATAACACAGAACTGGCGCTTGCCATTTATAGCAACAAACAAACATACACGGGCTCACAACCATGTACAACAGACCACCCCGGGAGGCACATGCGCACACGCAGCTACCGAATGGGGTCACCCACACGCGTTCATAAATATGCCACACAGTCAGAGATGTCCTTAAGTCTGGGTTCGTGTGAAGCCGGCCGCAAGAGCTGTGCCCCGAGGTGCTCGTCAACTTTTGGATGGATGTTTGGAGATGATAAATAAACACGTGCACCACAGGTACTGCTCCGATTGACAGGGCCGTCTTGCCCTCCCCTGTGATGTCAGCTGGAGGTTGTCATTTTTGTCCGTCTTCTGTAAGGGTGTCGTGGGGTGTTAGCAGGACAGAGCGGCTGCTGCGCTTCCTGCTGCTTTGGGGTAACAGGTGAATGATTGTGGTGGAGGGTCTGTAAAGGACTCATGTCCCCTCGGGATGGGAGGTGCTGTATACATGTAAGGCTGCTCTTAAAGGAAATGTACTCTGTGCTTTCGTCTTGGCTGAGGGCCCCGGTGTTGCCCATGAGAGCAGTGTGCAGGGAGAAAGGGACAGCCCTGAGGCAGTGTGGGCTGGCAAGGGATATGGGGTTAAGGGTGGTGGTGGGGAAGTGAACGCTGCAGATGCTCCTGTGCGGGAGGGGAGATGTCCCACTGGGGTCTGGGTGGATTGCTTCCACCGCTGGGATGCTGCTCTGGGGACCTCTCTCTGGTATTTCCCTTTCCTGTCTGTCTGCAAAAGGGTCTCTCACAGGCAATATGCAATGGTCTCTCCTATCTTGTCTGCACCCTAGAGGTTTTCAGGAAAGGTCTGCCTGAGCATTGCAAAGGTCCCACCAGCCTTCCCTCACCCAGAGTCCCTGATGGCCCCCTCTCTGCTGGGGTGGGAGAGGAAGGGGTGGTGAGGAGCTATGAGCCTGCTTCAGATGCAAAGTGATGTCTATGGGACCCGCTTTGGTTGGCTGTGGTGTGCATGGCGGGTCGTGCCATTACCAGCCCTGGAATGCCAGTCGCAGCCATGGAGCAGAATGTGTCTCAGCAGAGACACCTCTGAACAGTGCACACCAGGAGGTGACATTGGCCTCTGGGGACAGACATATCCAATCTGAAGTACTTCCCCTGAATCGTGGCATCTCTTTTTTCTCCCAAGCAATCTCCCCATCTCATTAAGTCCACTGCTTCCCTTGCTGTTGCAGAGCATCCTTCTCCCTTCTTCCCCAGCGGAGTCCTGCAGGGCTAGGTGCTTTCTCTGAAACAGGGAAGGGCTGAGACAGAGGCCGGCAGCTTCTCCTGTGCCTGCCAAGTCAATAAGCTCTCTGCCAGCACACATGTCTGGGGCAGGTGTGTGTGCTGGATGCAGGGCTTGGCTTGGGATGGTGGTGGTTTTAAATGGCCCTCAGGGATGGATGGTGGGAGGAGGAGTGTAGACTTGAGACCTGGCTCTGGGGAAGGGTTTGGTGCAGGCTGTGCAGGGAGAGAAGCAGGAGGAGCTGCCAGCCCACAAATACCTTCCCTTCCCCTGGGAGGGACGTGCAGCGGGTGTAGCATCACTCCTCCAGCGGTATGCGACTTTTGCAGGAGAATGATTTTGTGCATTAGGGGGGCATTGAGACAGAAAAGTCAGGAGTGAGGAGGATTGGATTTTCACTGATGGGTCTGGCCTGCCAACTTCAGCTGGGGATAGGTTTGACTGAGCAAAAAGTTGAGGGGGAAGAACGTGCATCTGGCCACCCCATAACCATCTGATTGTCCTCTTGTATTGCCCTTGTTGCAGTAAGCAGCACTTGCCCAAAGGGGAGGTTAGAGGTGTCCTGAAGGTGAGTTCTGGAGCCTTATAATCCTGTCTTGTCTTACTATCTTTTGTCTGGGTATGAACGCTCTCTGTTGATGCACATTTTTCTATGTATGCAAATGTGTGTATGCCAGACTTATTCCTTTTGGTCATTTTGATTTAAAAGGGCCTCTCCTGGGTTGAAATATTGTAGCAGGCTCACTCCAACCAAGTTACACAGCAATGCCACAGCATGGGAGGGCCAGTAATTGCAATCCCAGAGAAAATATCAGCATTGCATGAGTTGCAGCATAGCCAAAACAGTGGACATACCTAATTCCAACCTCCCCATTTGAGCTGGTAGTGGTGAGGACCCTGGATCTGGCTCTGGCAGGAATACCACTCCCTTCCCCTTTGAAGTTGAGACAGGAGGACTGACTCTACGTAAAGAGCTCGGAAATGCCCCACTGCTTGGGTTTCCCCTCTCCTTTTGACACAGCACATTAATCCTCCTTAACATAGGCAATGTGCTGTGATCACAGCCTTGGGGCTGGTTTGGGTGGCAGAGCAGGATTTAATCTCAGCAAGGAAAGGGGTATTACTCACATCTCCAGTGGGGCAGCTGTCATTCAAGGGCTGTATTTAGCTTCAGGACTCCCAAAGGGGTTCACCTGACTCTGTGTCTGCATGACCTCTAATGAGTCACTCTGGGCTGCACAAATTGGAGCGATAAACTGCCCATGATGCAGCCACTACCTGATTTGTGCGCACGTGTTTGACACGGGCAGAGCTGCATCCCAAAGTCCCAGCTGTATCTGGCAGTGGTGAGATGGAGAAGAGGCCCTGGATATTTGCTTGGAGGGAAAGCAGGGAAATGCTGATGAGGTTGTTTCTCCCATTCCTTTGGTCTGTTGTATTGTTAATTCTGAAGCTTTCTACATCACAGTTTGGAATTATCATGCCCTCATCAGTGTGGATACTCTGAGCACTGTAATAAGTCATTCCTCCCTGCTGTCCCTGCTAACCTTTCTCCTCTGTGTTTTTAATGGGAAGGAAGCTGGGCTTAGCCACTGCCTGTTAATAGCCTGCAAGGGGGCCAGCTCAGAGCAGGCAATGTGGAGCTGGTGGGAACAGGGAGTGGAAAAGGTGGTACAAGGAGTTGTATGGGTGCTCGGAGGTAAAAACCTGGTGAAAGTGAAAACAGAGGTGCTGGATGGTGGGAAGGGTGTTCTGCCACTTTTGTCACAGGGGTTTAGAAATTATGAACAGCATCCCAAAGCCAGTCAGGTGACACAATACCTCTTTCTTTCCAATAGCTGCAGGCCTTTGGGGTAATGAATTCAAAAAGTCTCTGTGCTATCCCCTAAGGGACACTGTGTCTGCTTTCTAAACCTCTGCGCTTGCTGCTCTTTGTTCTGACAAATACCAAGCCTGGAAGAACAAGCAAAGCTTTGGATCAAAGTGTGTGTTGGAAGCAGGGGGCTGAAAGAACAGGGTGGGTAGGCAGAGCTCGCAGGGTCTTAACTGGGGATAACAGGGGACTGCAGCCCAAGGGGGAAATGTTGGCTGGACCTGGCAGATGAGTTCTGTGGAGAGCACTGGAGATCATGGATCCAGCAGTGTGGGCACCAAAGGGGTCTCAGGCTGAAACATCAAGGGCGCAGCATGCCAGGGCAGAGCAGCATCAGCAGAGATGTGCATGGGCACTGTGGAGGGGATTGAGCTGAGTGTCTGAGAGGATAACCTATGGCCAGGGTGCAAGGAGATGAAATCTGTGCCATGGATTGTGGTGACAGACACATCCTTTCCTGCTGCTGATCAGCCCTTTCTGTATTGTGGTGTGTCTGGTGGGCTCTTCTGTTGCTTTTAGACCTGTACTGGTAGCACGGGCACTCCAGACACTTGAGCACTCCAAAAAGGTGAAGAGAGGAAAGTGCCCATCAGGCTACCATCGAGCAGTCCTTGGACAAGCTCTCTTTCCCAAAAGCATGACTGTTAACACCCTTCCAAAGTCAGGCCTTGGAGTTTATTTCATTCCTCTCACTTTGACAAGCCACTTCCACTGTGCTGTTTAACGACAACACTTGACTTTGTGTTTTCCCAGAACAAAGCCACTGTTACGAGGTCTCAGCCAGAAAAGTGATGTTCTTTAGCAAAAGCATGGCACACCTTACTTGGGTGCCACTGAGCACGAGACCTGTTCTTCTGCTCTTCCTACACCCACCTGCACTCTCTGACCATTCTGCTTGTGGAATAACTTTTGCAACCTATCATAGAATCATAGAATGGTTTGGGTTGGAAAGGACCTTAAAGATCATCGAGTTCCAACCTCCCTGCCATGGGCAGGGACACCTTCCTCTAGACCAAGTTGCTCAAAGCCTCATCCAACCTGGCCCTGAACACCTCCAGGGATTTCTTCATGGTGCTTCCACTGCCCTGGCAAAGAAGAGCTCCACAAGCTCCAGTAAAGGGTGCTTAATATTTAATCCCACTTCTAGATCATGTTACAGCTCCCTGTTTGAATGAGAACTGTTCTGTATGGGTCTGACATGCATTTGCTGGTGTTGGTCTGAAGGAGCCTGCCCAATGAGTGGCATGACACAGGGACAGCCCAGCGCGTCCCTGGGTGGGAGAGGGCATGCCTGGGGCAGCACAGCTGAACCTGGGTTTGGCAGGACCACGTGAAGGACTACGAGGCCATGGTGGCTGTGATGTGTCAGGATGGGTCCATGCCCCTCCAAAGCACAGTGCTCCATTAAGGTGCTCAGGCTGGCTCCAGAAGAGCTGGCACTGTCACCTGAGATGGTGCTAGCATGTGTCAGGGGTTACAGAGATGATTTAAATAGTTAGTCACGGAGAGGACTAGCCAGAAGAGTCTTGGTGGAGAGAGGGAGAGACTGGCAGAAAAGAGCTTTGCTTAAAATTGCTTCAGCACAATGTGTGACCGTGGTTTATCATTTGTCAGAGCTGTCAGTCCTGCAGCTCTCCCCTGCTCCGAACTCACTGGGAGAGTATGGGTGTGCTGTGCTCTTGCTGCTAATTCCTCATGTGGGTTTCATTTCTTTCTCCCCTCCTCTCCAGGGGCTCGCGCTTGCGGCTGGGCTGGCGGAGGATGTTCCC